GGGGGCCACCACAGAGAAGGCCCGCCTTCTGGACCCCGCTAGATGGAATTCTTTTACTGAGGGGGTCCGAAGCATGCCCTCTCTGTGCGATCGAGTGGGACGGGTTGAAGACATAGGGGAGAGGCGGTCCCTTTGGTAACCTGGTCCCATGCCATGTAGGGCTTTAAAGGAGATAACCAACACCTTGAATTGGACCTGGAAGCAAAGTGGCACCCAGTGCAGCTCGCAGAGCAACGGCGTTACATGGGCCCTTCTTGGGGCTCCAAAAATAGCCCTTGCGGCTGCATTCTGGACCATAATGCTGTTCCTGTGAGGGCAAGAAATGCATTTCACGTGTTTAGAGCCAAACTCTCTCTGATTTATCAAATAGAGATCAGTTATATCAAATACCACATCTAGTCCTCAAAACCTACTGGAGGGGAAAAACCCCATCAGCTAACCCATCATTATTCTTCCACAGATATTCCTGGCTGGAATGACGTATGATACGGCCCAGAATTTTTTGTTCGAAGGCAACCACGAAGATGCCATCCCGGCCGCCTTGCATTCTCTGAAATTCAGCATCAGTATCCACGGCCCCAATTCGGTGGAACTGGTCCCTGCATATCTTGTTTTAGCCGAGACCAGCTTGGGTAAGCTTGCTCGGAGCACTGTTGAAGCAGCTGCAGGCTGCCTTCTAAACAGGGAGAGGGGCCAGTAATGTCATTCTTGTCAGCCTTCACGAGTCTTTGTTTCAGTGGAAAATGGACTAGAACTCAGTTTAATAAGGAGACCTCTCATTCAAGCTAGAAGTCACTTCCCTGTTGTTTTCTGAACTCGGGGCTGAGTGCCGTTCCCAAAGTAGTCAATTGTTTCTCTGTGTGTGTGTGAAGTCTTTGCTGCTCAGGCATTCCGTCTCTGATTCCTGAGGAACCACACGCTGGTTTCCTCTTACTTGCATAATGCGGCTGGGTTTGCTGGTTTTCCTTCCTGCCAGGCCTCGGGCACCTCTCGCAAGGTGAAGAATATCTCTCCCAAGCCCACTGGATTGTTTTGAAGAATGCCCACTGTAGCCGTGACGTTCAGGCCAAGCTGCATCGGAACCTGGGGCTCCTTCATGCCGCGAAAGGGAACTTGGATGACTCTTTGTACCACCTGGCCAACGATGTAAGGTTCGGCTCTGCGCCTGGGGTGGGCCAAACTCTCCCTAACACAGTGTTGTCCAAACTTGGCCACTTTAAGATGAGTGGACTTCAACTCCCAGAATTCCCCAGCCACCCATGCTGGCTGGGGAATTCTGGGAATTGAGGTCCACTCATCTTAAAGTGGCCAAGTTTGGACAGCACTGCCCTAGCGTAATCGCTGCAGTCCTCCTCCCTTTCTCCATGATGGGCGGCAGAGGCAGTTCAGAAGGAGCAGGCAGGATGAGTCACAGCCGGAGCAGGGGGGAGCAGAAAAGGCAGATTTGTTTTATTAAAAGCAGATTCAGAGGGACAGTAAACATTCACTGTTATGAAAATCCTTCCGTGCTTGCAAGGGCTGGGCCGCGTCCTGAATCAACCTTGGTGTGGGTTTGCATAACATGGGCAGGGTATCAAGGCCTGCATTCCCAACATCAGAACTTGATTTGGGTTAAGTCCATGGACTGTAAGCAACCTGGGAACACCTGGATGAAACCAATCCCGAACAGACCAGTTGGTGCTAAGCCCAATGTAAGGACTCTCCCTAGAACATGACCCAAGATCTTGGAAGTTACCTGCAGATGACTTGGCCAAATACTTTCTGCATCCTCCCCGGTTCCCCCCACCCCTTTCCATTGGTTTTCAGAACGGTGGCCGTGTCTGCCTCTGTCAGTTACACCGACGGATTTGATCGCAGGTATATTTTGCGTGCTGTGCTTTTGGGACGACCAACCACGTGGCTGTCGCAGGAGGCTACTTCCACATGGCCACTGTTTTCTTCCGCCAGAATAGGATGGATGTCGCTGATTCCTTGTATTCTGAGGTCAGTAGACCCCGACCAGGCTGGGATTTTAGGTGCCGATGAGAATTAGTTCTCACACAGTCAGTAAAAAACAAGATATGAACAAATCTGCCCACTTCAGTCATGAAGGGTACATGGAAACACGCCATCTGGCTCAGAAAGGGGGACAGATGACCAGGACGGGCAGGAACGCAAAACGCAAGAAGGCTTTTCTTGTTCCTGTGAATCAGACTGGTGCTTGAATCCCTGCAGTTGCTGAAATCCTTCTGGTTATGGCTTCCTAGCTTTTTTCAGTCCATATATCTTATTCCAAGTGCTTGGATTTTCTTCTGAAGTTATCTAAGTGGCTCCCATCTTGCCTGAAGGATGACACCCGGCTTCAGTAAGGAAAGCAGCAATGACCTGGTAGTCCCTAGATGCATCCCCCAGAATTCCCACACAAAAGGCTGGGAATTTATTGCTTCATTTAGCAGCATACCTGTGTGCTGCTCACTCCCTTAACGGCTCAGAGCAGCTCACAGACAAAAGCAAACACATGTGGAGGACATGTGATCAAACACACGTGGAAGACGTCAGGTTGGAGAAGGCTGACACAGCAGCGTTAGGCTCTTGCCACCACCAACCCCAATTAAATTAAAATAACCGTCATTGTTGTTATTTGAGCTTCCAAGTCTTTCCTCCCCAGGTGGTCAATATCTGGTATGATCACTTCAACCACTTGATTGACATCCAGTACCAAAAACTCATAACTCCCGCAGAAATTGACCTGCTGTCTGAAGAAGGAGGGACAGAGGAAGATATCCTGGGTAAGGATGGATCCCTTGAGGCGAACTTCCCAGAGCCAGCCCTCCCCAGACAGGTCAGGATCCCCATCTGGTACACAACCTGTTGAGCAGACTGCGCTCCATATTTATTTGAAGCGTTTGCACCCTGCTCTTAGACATGATCACAGGGAAAAGAGAGCCCCTGCCTTTCCCCTAAAAAGACATAACACAGAAAGAAAGGGTGTTGGGGAGGGCAAACCAATGCAAGGTAAGCAATTCTGGCCAGCTGTAATGGAAGAGGGCTGCTCTGCACTGAAGGTTGGTTGCAAAGAAATAGGAACGCCTGCAGCAGATCCAATGAGATGTCTTTCTGTCCTCTCCGTTGCAAAGATTCAACATGGGTTGTTATCATTGACAGTAGCCCCCTGACATTTAGGATTAGCACTGTCTCCTGTGTGAGAGGAAAAATGGGAAGGCCTCTTCTAAGATGGCCTCTGGGACCCAGGAATGCCTCTTCTAAAAGCAAAGAATCTTACCTCTTTGGGTTTATTCTTATCTAGATTTATCTTGCATTCCCAAAGTGACTAGACTGAGGTCGCCCTTAACGTGGATTGCCTCTAATTATTCATATCATTTTTTGTTGCCTCTTTCTCACAACATTGCCAGGAGACTCTTGTAAGTCCCCCACAACTATTTCCATCACTGGCCTCTCCCTTCCTCTTCCAGATGAAAAGCAACAGGCCGAAGCAACACAGATGCTGAACCCCATCTTGGAATTCCGAGAACAGTCTCCCAAGCCACGGCTGGAGAAGATGGCCAAATTGTTCCACACGTTGGCCATGTTTTATTACTTGATCCACGATCTGCCAAAGGCAAGTTAAAAAACACGGTTTCTGTAGAGGGCATAGGGAATGGCCTGGAAGGACAGGAGGAAGAGCCGCTGCCAAGGCAACGGTCGGCTAAGGGGCTCGAGCCCAGGCCGAGAGAATAATGTGAATAAACATCTCAGATAAGCCCCTCCCTAGTTCACGGGAAGATAAAGTGAGGGCGGGGGAAGAACATTCTGATTTGCAAGATTCTGTTGCTAGAGCTTTACAATAAAAATAGTCCTGACCTATACGGCATCGGTTTCTTAGTCTGGGCTATGCTGTAGGGTTGAGGGTTCCTGAGTTAACACAGACAACCTAGGAAGCTGCCACAGCAGATCCGAGACAGAGGTCCTTTCTGTTGCCCCCCCCCAGGCCTGAAGCAAGGTCCCTCCTTTTCTCCTGGGCCGCCTCCACTGTGTCCTCCTGCTTCCCTGTCACAGGCTGCACCGTTGGTGTGGTGACAGTCCAGCCAAGCTCCAGACCGGCCCATGCTTTTCTCACTGCCGGGAGAAGAGAGGTGTGCCGGATTCAGCCCCGCCTATCCTTTCCCTGAGCGGAGCTCATCCATAGAGAGCAGTTCAGTTTAGGCAGCTGTGCTCTTGGAGCAACAGGGAAAATAAAGAATGCATTTTGAGGGTCACCTCTTCTTCACAACGTTTGCTGTGTTAGAATGACCCCACTTAGGAGAAATGCTCTGGGACAGAAGCTCAACACTGCTTGCGGGTATTTTGCAAACACTTAACTTTCCCGAGGGCCTGGAAGGCTGGACTCTGAGTATTTCACGCTGAAGCGTTTTGTTGCTGTTTGTAGTTGCGTTGTTTTAAAGAAGCCAAGCCAGATCCTCCCATATTCTCCACGGTGTGAGGAATGAAGTGTCTAACACCCCAGAACGGGCCTGACACCAATCAAGCTTTTATAATAACATCTTGATTCTGTTTCGCCCTTTTTCTCTCCCCCCGCCCTTCTGCAAAAGACTTAACTCTATTTACCCTGGCCTTTCTCTTCTGGTGTGCCTCATTTCAGGCTGACGAATTTGTGATGAAAGTTCTGCAAGCAACAGAGCATCTGCCTGAACACGAACCAAACGACTCTCTTTACCACTTGGTGAAACTAATCAAATCCAAACCAGCCTATGCGAAATAGAGGGGCTGTTTTCAAGGGAAGATGGAAGCTCATCCTCTGTGTGTCTTTTTGCCGTACGTCTTGCCCGTTTTAACAAAACAAGTCTGTCTTACATCTTGGTGGAATCACTAAAGGCCAGAAAGGTCTCCCACCAAACCTTGCACCCCCTCAAAAGGAGACAAAACCCAGGTCACCACATGCGTGTCGCAGGTGGCGGAGCGGGTATGTCCCAGGGGGTGGTCAGAGGGCTAGCTGCTTGGTTCACCCATCTTGTTTGGCTATAGTTAATTGAAGGACTCCTGGCTGTGTTCACCCAACACAGTAAATCTTAAACCATGGTTTCCCTGGCTGAACACCAGGGTGCCTCAGGAAGCACTCAGCTTTCAAAGCAGAAGGAGTAATGTTCTGCTTTATTCGGCTCGGGCCAGGCCCCTCCTGGACTCCTGTGTTCATTCCTCGGTATCCTACTTCGAGGGTGCTCGAAGGAAACTGGAACCGAGAAGGGCAACAAAGAGGATCAGGGTCAGAAACTAAGCCTGTGAAGGAGGATGGAAGGAGCTGGAAATGTATGGCCTTGGGAAGAGAAGAATAGGGGATGTGGAAGCAATTTCTGGAGAGGGTCCCGTAGAAGAAGATGGTTTGCTGTTGTCCCAGAGAGCAGGTCGTGATATATTTGGTCTGAGATCAGGACTCCTAAATGAGAGCAATCGAAGGGGTGGACGCATCCGCGAGGCGTTTTACGCTGGGTGGCGGCTGTGTGTGGAAAGCTGGGCCATACAAATTCAGTAGCCAAAGACCTCGGTTTAATGGACTGTTTGGCTGCAGGGGACGTCTGTTACTCCTAATAGTCCATTAAATCTGAGCTCATATCGCTCACATCATTTTAAACTGACACAAATGTAAATTGCGCCCCGGGCGTTTAAACACTGGTACTTGATGGGCCAGATGGGCGTACACGTGATTTCTGATCCTGCTGATCATGAGAAGTGTGTTATCTTGAGGCTCCGTGTGCTGGATATGTGGTGTGTCTTTCCATCTCCAGTGGACTGAGCCCCAGCTGAGAAATTTGGGAGGGGGTTGCAGGAAGGGATCATGTGCCCCCCACCCCCAAGAGCCAAGTCACAGTCTCTCACTGGGCAGCCCACCCCCCCACTAGCAATCATCCTGCAGCTTAAAAGGAAGTTTAGAAAACCAGCAACATCTAGAAGACTCAGGGAAGAATTCTTCCCCAGCATCACCATCATTGGAGTCCTCCTTCCCCGAGTCTCCTAGAAGTTGCTGGCTTTCTAAACTTCCTTTTAAGCCACAGGACAGCTACTCCTTTGTGTCTGCTGAGGGCTCCCCTGCTCCGTTTGTCGTGCTCTTGAGGACTTTCTTCACCTCTCCCCAAACATCCCGAAGGACTCTCCGGTGGCCAAGACAGCAGCCTCCCCTCAGGGCAGGGGTGTGGCCTTCAGTTCCCAGAACCCTCCCCAGGAGCCTTTGCTGGCCGGGGTAGTCTGGGAGTTGAAGGCTTTGCATCTGCTAGGTGCCCAGACTGGGGAGGGAAAAGCAGATTTAAAAGGACGAGCTGAGAATTTTTGGAAAATGTCACAGCAACGAGGGGAGTCAAGGTTGACAAGCCTTTGGCTATTTCAGCGATTCCCTCCCCTCCTCAACTTTTTCCTTCCTTCCTTCCTTTCCTTCCGGTGGAAAATCCTCTGCCCAAACCAAAGCGATATTGCAGAACACAGTCAATCCTAGGATTTATTTTATTTATTTGACCCATACAAACTTCTCCTTTCTGTGTTTTCTTCCCCCTCCTCCCGTTGGCGCTTCAGAAAGGAGCTCACCCTTGACATCACACAGTACACAGCAAACACAAAGTTAACATTTTAAAAAAAAATCCTAAAAACGTAATTCTTTTATTCAAGTGCGGTTGTGTGTATGCCTTCAGTTTACAAACAGACAAATAAATAAAATATATATATTATTAAATAGGTGCGTTTAATTGTTTTGCTTCAGGATTGGGGTTTTTTTTTGTTTTTGTTTTTTTGTTTTTTGCAAACCTGTCGAGAACTTCTACCAAACACAACGAGGAAGGGCTTTTTAACCAGGTTGGCTGAATAGACTAAAGAAAATCTAAAATATCAGTGCAACAGGTTCTGCTACAGTGCAGGTGAGATAATCTATATAAAAAAATAAGTTCATCATAGTCAAATACAGATATTACAATTGCTAGAGAAACTAGAACTATCCAAGAATATTTGCATGAACTTGTCTATTGGAAACAATGCCATAACTTAGTGCACTGTTAACATGAAACAAGAACAAAAAATACATACATATTAATATAAATATTTTCCAGTCTAGACCTAGAAAGCAGGAAAAAGGGTGCAGCCATTCTCGCTTTTGGGGCAGGGGGTGGAGTGTGGAGCGAGTCTGGGTCGTCAAGGATAAGGAGATTGCCAGAAGCCACCCCTCCCCAAAGACACAATAGAACTGTGTCTTCCTGAGTTCTTTTTTGGGGGGGGTGAGGAGGTTGGTGGGCGCTGGAAAAAAGCCTTGTTAGGTGAGATTTGGGGAGGGGGCCGTGCCTGCCCCAGTGTATAACTTCTGGAGTTGCTTGTGTTGGCTTTCAAAAAGAATTAAGTCAGTTCCCAGGGCAAGAGATCTGCAGCTCCGCGCTCTTCAGGGGCAACCCAGTCGGGACCGTCTCCTGCCAAGGCTGGGGAAACGTTCTTTTTGGAATGCAGGACCGCACGCCTGGGACCCTGTGCAATCCGAAGCGGGACCAGCCCCACTCCGGGCAGGAGTCTGAGTGGAAGCATTCCTCAACAGGAGCCGTTGGCCCTCTTCTCTCTATCGCTTCCACCCCATCCAGGGGGGACTGACAGCAGGGAAGACGGCTTTGGGCCACAGCCTGACCCGGCCACTTAAAGCAGGGGTGGACGAGGGGTGACGCTCTAAAGTGAGGGATGTCAGGGACTCTGGTCCTCACAACAACCAGGGGAGTCACAAGGCACCCATTGCTGTCAAGCTTTTGAAACTGGGCCTGGGGGCAGCCGTAGCACCCTCTGCCTTCAGCAATTTGGAAGTGGTCTCATCAGAGAAATGTCAAGACCTGCCCCCCGCTGGGCCAGAGAAAGCAATTGCCCACCCACATAGCTAACAGCCTACAATTTTGTGGGAATGGAAGCTACAGCCCCAAGACTGTGTGAGGGCCTCCGTTCTGCCAGAGGTCCAATGTGGTAGAACGTCTTTCCTTCCCAAACCGTCTCAGTTCTTTCAACTGTTCCCTTGGATCACCAAGCCCATGTTTCCCAGGGATCCCCTTGCTCTGGAGAATGAGCAGGAGGGGCTCAGAGAAGACTCTCGCACTGAAGGAAGTGGCGGGTGGTAAGGGGCTTACCCTCGGCGACCAGGTTTTCATGAACAAGAACTTCTGTCCTGCCAAAAGAGAGGCCTCTGCTGGCCTTTAGAAAATACCATTGTAAGGTGGGGAGAAGACCCAAGGGTTTTTCCCACAGGCGGTTTAAAAATCTTGTTTTTGTGATGCACTTGCCCCCACACACCCACATTTAAAAATACCACACCGTTCCTTTGAGAACGTGACTGCAACTCATCAAAGGAAATCCCTGCCTTTGCTTAGTTCTTCCCCCCAACTCTTAAACACTGGCCTTGAAAACCACATAATTGCCCCTTCAAATCCAATTGTTCTGCTTTAAATTCCCCCCCTACCCGTATTTAGCTGGCGTCTAATGATTTTAAATGTTTGCCTCCAGCAGTGCAGGGTTTTTGGGGAAGGGGAGATTTCTGCTTTTTCTCCTTTATAAAACAAAGAGGAAAAAAATAGAGGAAGGGTGAAGAAGTGCTATCTTCTCAAGGACAAGACTCGTCCATGAAGAATAACCATTGCTTCTGAATGTTGACAACGTTGAAATTCTGGACTTGAAACCAGCTAACTGTTCCTAAGGAGCTAAGAGTTGGGTTCGTCATCCAGAAACCAGGCTCTGGAGCTGGAATTGGGACCCAAATATCTTCTTCACCTCAGACCTGGCTTTGTAACAAGCATATGGAGGACAGGCAGGAAAGGAGTGACGCAAAGGAGAACCCTGCCTACCTCCATAGCTTAGACTTGGGAGTCAGCACCCAAGCTGTGGAACTCGTCTGGTGTCTTGTCACTATGAGCAGTCCCCCCTTGGCGGAACTCAGAGGCAATCTCGTCAAAGGTTCGGCCCTTTGTCTCGGGCACCTTGAAGTAGGTGAAGACAAAGAAGAGGATAAGCAGGATAGTGAAGATGATGAAGACGTAGGCACCACAAAGGTCCTGTAAGGAAAGAGGAAGGGACATCATTGCTCTGCTCAGAGTAGCCTTACCAGTCAGATGGGTGTTGACTAAGGATGACTCAATCCACCACTGCCAAGCCAAGGGGATTAGACAGACAACCTTCTCTGAGAGCTAAGGAGGTGGCATGTTGGCGGTAGAACATCTCTTTCAAACAAGAAGTCCCAGGTTCCTTGATATTCCCCATTAAAAAAAGTGGCCATCTTTCCAGGAGAGCTTTTTAAGGCGCCCAACCTCATATCTCCGCTAGCTTCTGGAGTCCCTATTTTGAAAGAGGTGAAAACTTAATTTGCAGAATTTCCTAAATATCCTGGCTTTGTAGGGAGTATAGAAATAACTATTTTGATACTTCCAGTCACTTGGGAAGAGTCAAGAGTCTCATTGCAACAACTTAACACTCACATGGGGAGGCTCACTTGGGGTGAGAAGGCACCCCCCCAATGTTAGACCCTCACTTCATTAGACCCCACCCTCATCCCTTATATTCTCTGTCCTTCTGTGATCAGTTTTCTGCCTCCCAACAGGCTTCTCCCAAATCAGCATCAGCAGCCACTGAGTTCCTCAAGAGAGTAGAGGTGGCAGTTGGGTAGCTAGAGTGACTTTCAGAGTAAACAAAAGTAGCTGGTCTATCCAGCCATCTTGGTTGCTCTAGTTCGGTCAAGAAGGATGGGATTGTAATGTGGAGGGAACAAGTAAAATTGAGAAGATCCCAAGCCCGTTTAAGTGCTGGTGTGCTTCTAAAAAGCACCAGCACCATCTCAAAACTTCTGCTTCTTAGTTGCTTTGCACAGATCGACCCCTGGAAACTAATTTCATGTATGAGGTCCATCATTCCTCATCTCACCTTGGAGCTCCACACTTACCGCCACATACTGAAAGCCCATCCCTACAATGAAGTTGGAGGTCCAATTGGAGAGCCCCGCAACGGCGATGGCGGCAGGTCGTGGGCCTTGGCTGAACAACTCTGCCACAATGAACCAGGGAATGGGTCCCGGGCCGATTTCGAAAAACGCCACAAAGCCAAAGATGGCGACAATGCTGAGATAGGACATCCATGGCACTTGATTCTAGCGCAGGAAGAAAAATGGAATCAGGACAGCCCACCTTTCACTGGAGTTCCCATTAATTTGGTAGCATTTTCAAGCTTATTTTTCTCTCACCCCCACCCCAAGAATTGCACTAACTTCTTCGCTTCTCTTTCTTTTCCAAAAGAGAATTCTTTTTTTCCTAGAATCATAGTAATATGATTGAATATGAATGTTTGGAGAAAAATCAGCAGAATATTCAATCCAACACCTTCAATACAGCCTACTGTTGAGGAGAACACCCTGAATTTCCAGGTGTGCTGGACTATACTTCCCATAATTTCCCCCCAGCACATGGGAAGCATAAACTATACCGAGAACAGGACTTATGAAATCGTTAGGCTGTCAGTGAAAAAGACAGGGGTCCCCTTCACTCCTCATTTATGGCCATCCCATGTGACCTTTGATGGACCGGGGTTTGTCACTCACCAGTAGTGCCAGGGCAATAGTCATGAGAACCGCACATATGGCCATTCCCAAAAGTCCAACGAGGTGTAGCGTCCTTCGACCAGCCCGCTCCACCACAAACAACTTCAGAGAGGGAACAGTGGAAATACAGATTCATCAGCATAGAAACCATGGAAGTTCCTCCTCAAAATAATCAAGCTTTGGGGACACCATGCAGAGGAGTTACAGGTTGTGACTCCGGATGAGTCCTTGACCTTGCCACAATGTCAATCAGAATCAGCTGCCACTTCCTCCTTGCCAGCAGGAGGATGGGCCGAGGCAGGAGGAAGTGGCAGTTGATTCCGATTGACATTTATCCATATGCAAAATTTAATCCCACGGGACTAGAACCCCTCTGCAGCACATCTGGACAATAGCTGAACCATGTCTCCCATTTTGGTTCTGAAGACTGCTGCACCCCCTGCTCCCAATGCCGTGCATTTTAATTTTTATTTATTTATTTTTCAAATATCTATACATGCCACCCATCTCACTATACGAGTGACTCTGCGTGCCTTTGAACTACAGGCACCCCCAAGAGAGAGGCTCCCCGCGGCCGCCTAGGAACCACATTGTGATACCTATTGCTGTAGCCCCTTCCTCCTGCTTCCAAGCCCTTCCCTGCCGTTTCCCCGGCAAGAAAGCACATCAGGCCTTCACTCACCGAAACAATGGTGAAGGCTGTGTTGACAACCCCAGCCCCAATAGTGGCGTAGACAGGCTGCTGCACTCCGGCTCTTTCAAAGATGTCTGTTGAGTAGTAGAACACCTTGGGGAAGGGAGAGAAGAAGGACAGCGTCAACACAGTTGAGCCCTAAGAGCACTTAGTAGCATCGCTGGGGCATTGGTAGAGAAATAAAGGGCTTCCGATCCTATCTAGATGTAACGAGGAATGCATTGTCCTACTAAATGGGGTCGGTAGGACTGCGAAACCAACACAACACAAACGTTCCACCTCAGTTTCTCGCCAACCCCATATTTACCGCGTTGATCCCCGAGAGTTGTTGGGAGAGTTGCAATACGATGGCAATCAAGAGGGGTTGGCGGTACAGAGAAGAGCGGAAGAGCTCCAAGATGGTGACTTTCTTCTCCTGCAACATTTGCCGGCTCTCCTCTTTCATCTCCTGAAGGTCCCTGCTGACATCGGTTGTTCCTCGGAGCTTCTTTAGGACTGGAGAGAAAAAGGATAGTCACAACTCGCAACTCACCAGTTGGGCTCCTGGTCCTCAGAATCTGGGTCTCCATGGGAAGGGGCCTTTGGGAAGTGGTGTGGAGAGTAAGGAAGATGGCCTTGATGGAGCTGTTGTCTAGGCAAAGGGGGCTGAAGCACTTTTTGAGCCCAGAACAGCCAGATAACATTTGGAAGTGGTTCAGACAGATACTTCCCTAACTCAATGGAGTATAAGAACGGGGAGAAGGTTCAGTACAATCAGACCTCCAAGATTTGGCTATTGTAGCTAATCTCAATTGAAGCACTTTTAGCTTTCTTGTGGAGTTGATTTTCTGCTCTGGCCTACCTGGTGGGGTTCACAAGTTCCCTCAACCATGCTCCATCTCAACACTGTGTCTTTCTCTCCTGAGACAAGTCCTGTTTCCAGATGTTCAGAGGGCTGCACTAAGGCTCCCTCTCAATAAGCCAGCTGGCTCGTACTTTTGCTACCCCTGACATTCTTGGAGTGGTTTCTAAAATACTTCCTGGAAAAAAAAAACCCTACGAAGCATGAACGGGGTGGGGGAAAACTGCCTCTGTTTCTGACTCTGCTTCATATGGACCTGAGAAGACCCCAAGCAGCACTTGCTAATCAATTCAGACAAACACACCAGGTACCATTCTCTGCTTTGCGGTTATTTTAAGGGACGGGAGGTTGGCCAATAAAGAAAATGCCAGTGATTGAATAGGCTCCCTTGAATTCAGTGGGACTTCCTTCGGAGCAGGCTTACATCAGAGCGTGCTAGCCTTAAATGAAGGCTTGCTGATCAGATCATGAGCCAGTTTGGCCTGTTAGCCCAAATCAGGAGCCCTGAAGAAGCTGGAGCTGGATTTGATTTTTGTAAGCAAAGAGAGAGGTCTACCATGGAGAAACGAAAGCCCTGGCATGTTGTAGCTAGGAGTTACACAACACGGAGCATGTGGGCACCAGTATCCCAGCATCTTTCTCTCATTTTTTCCCCCAACTATTCTTTTTTTTCTAAAAAAACTAAGAAATAGGAAGCTGGCATGGTGCAAAACATCTGTAGTCACTTGGCTGTGCCCTCTGTTTGGTGAATGGACAAGTCTCCCAGCGCTGTCCTTCCAAGGCTGCCCTCACGCCCTCAATCTTCCTCATGTGCCCCCAGCCCAGAGCAGGGTGACTGGCGCTGCTGTAGCTGCCCAGACATCCGACTGACTCAACCTACGCATCACGACCAGCAGCTGCAACTTACCACTCTTGGCTTTGTTCTCCTCATTGCGGTTAATGAGAAGGAAGCGGGGGCTTTCAGGAGCAAAAGGCAACAGGATGCATTGAATCAAGGAGGGGATAAAGGTGAACCCCAGCAGAAGGGGCCAGAGGCTTTCGGTCCCCATGATCAGATCGATGCCAAAGATCTGTGAAAAAGGCACAGCGAATAGTTGGAAAGGTGAGAATCCAAGTCTTGAGAGGTCCCTGAACCCCAAACAAATCTGAATTTGTCTGTCAAAAGTCAGGAGGAATCTGGTAGCACCTTTTCCGACCAACACATTTTACTAAAAGGCATCAGTTTTCTTGAGCTTCTTGCTCACTTTGTCAGATGCGTGGTTAGACTGATCTATGGTTTAAATTGGGATGGCGAGGGATGACCCTCTGGACTTTACGTAAGATGTCCCCTCCTGATGTTTGGCTACCGTAGGTCAATGCGGCTCTCCTCCCACACTGTATTTTGTGTGTGTGCTTGCTTGTGCAAAAAGACAAAAGAGCCCCTCCCTGGATTCCTCCAGATAAGGCCCTGGAGCAGGGCTGGTGCGTATCTGGGGGGCTAAGAGTGATGGGCAAAACGTTTCAGACTTGAAATATTGCAAGCCTGTCTCGTAGTTGGAATAACTTTGGAATTTGAAATGCAGCGGGCTTTTGGTGTGTGAGCACGATCCACCTTTGAACCATGACTCTTTCAATCTGCCACAAGCCCTTTTCACCTCTCAGATCTTCAGTCAAGATCTGCAGGAGACCCCACACGGCACCCCCCGTGGCCCTTCTGGGTGCATCTCCTCCCCCAAGAATCTCTCACCTGTGCGATCAGGATCCCCACGACGACCCCAAGCTGATGCAGCGTTCCTAAGGCCCCCCTAAGCGCCGTGGGGGACACTTCGCCCACGTACATGGGCACGAAGCCCGTGCTGAGGCCAGAGTAGATGCCCACGATGAAGCGGCCAATGATCAACATCTCAAAAGAACCTGCCAACTTGGAGAAGCCCATGAGGATGGCAGCAAGAAAAGCTAGGGAGTTGGACATCAACATGGAGTTCCGGCTGGGAAGAGGAAGAGGAACGACGGCGGTTGTCAGCCAGGATCAGGGGAAAGGAGCCAGAAGGCTGACCCCCAACCCCCTTCCAGATATTGCCAGCTTTCTTTGCCAACAGCAGAGCAGCTGCTTTGCAGAGGGCTGGTAAACAGCCTCCCCCGCCCTGTTTACCTGTCCCAGATGTCTGTCGCTTCTTCCCAGCAGATTTGGGGGGCTCTCTAAATACCACCCTGAGCCCTCCCCCCACATACAAGGACACCATCCCCCTCAGCAGCTCCACTTTGCCACTCAAAATGCTTTCCAAAGTGTTGTTCTGCTTCTCCCCTCCTCTCTTTGCCCCCCACACAAATTTGTGTTTCGGTTGGCTCCAGAAAAGAGAGAAAAGAGAGATGGGTGGAAGATCTTCTAGGAGAACCTTTGACTCACCGTCCAAAGCGGTTGACAAACAGCCCAACTGAGAACGACCCGAGCATCCCACCGACCGAGAAAATGGACACAGAGAGAGACCAGAGTGTGGTGAGCATGCCCTGGGTGATATACTTCTCATATCGGTTGACCCATGTTTGGTTGTAAAATTCTTCTATCACCTGCAAAGAGGAGAAGAAGGAATCCAATGGACTGAAAGAGAAGGTTTCCACCCCATACAATATGCTTCCACCAGTCAGATCTCCTTATGGGGGACTCTGCTGGCACACAACCAGGCCAAAGATGGCCTCCGAGGATCTCCTTCCCCAGAAGCTGCCTGATGTCCCAGGATACTGGAAGCCTCCTGAGATCACTGGTCCTTTCCATTGGTATGGTTGGAGCCCATAATGGTTATGAACCTTAGACACTCTCACTCTTCATGATTAGCTTAGTCATGACGCTGAGCCACAAAGAAGACATGCTAGGGTAACTGTTGAGTGATTCAGCCTAGGTAATTCATTTATGGCTTAGGGTGTTGTGCAATGGCCCCCAACCTTGGTCTGAGTCAAGCAGGCTCAGGTAAGTGTGCCCCATGAATATAGTCAGTGAGAAGAACACAGGGAGAAGTTGGTCTTGCATGCAGAAGATTGTAGCTCTGTCTTCCAGCAGGGCTGGAAGATCTCAGCCTTGAAACCCAGGACAGTCTACGCTTCCAACACAAGGACCACAAAAATCCAGATTAATACTAGGTTGCAGCAAAGTGGCACAGAAAACTCTGGGCTGTCCTCTCACAGTCATCCCGCATCGCTTTGATATCAAGGTGTTGTTTGTGCTCTTATGAAATCATTGGCTTGTTCAGAACAAAATAAAATGGGCTGGAAGCTTAGATGAGGTTCCAGCTTTTGGAGCCAACATCAACAAGGGCAGGGAGTAGAAACTCCAATTTCAAAACACTCCAGAGCTCCCGTGGTCAGACCCTGTCAGCAACATGAGGCGAAGTGGGCCAAGCATCCACCTTGCCCGCTGACCCATTGCTCATCCTGGGCCAAGGATCTCTTGGAACTGGTGGCCATTGATGTCCTTTTTCCACCAGAGGGTAGCAGTCTTCCAACTGGCCTGCGAGGGACGGGCACTGGGCTGAGCAGGTTACAGTGACCTAGGAGGAAATAAGACCGCAAGCCCAGCGAACAGCTTCTGGAAGGTCTGATATCTTGCTGAGTCACAATGGATGTGCTGAAATGGGAGGAAAGGTGAGGTGGCCATCTCCTAAGCAGCACCATCTAAATTCTTCTCCTTCTCCTGCTCTTTCTCCACCACTCCTTCTCCTTCTCCTCCTTGACCACTCCTTCTCCTTCTCCATCTTCTCCTCAGGGAAGGAGGCCCATACAGGCTGTTGTTCTAGGCTCACCTCTCTTTGTGCTGCTTTCTTTTCCAGCAGGGTGTCCTTTTGGGTGTGGGTGTGGGTGTGTAAATACACCAGAGAGGAGGGGTGATGAGGATAATGGTGAAAGCAGGATTCCAAGAATACTTTGTGGGTGGTCAAGGGGAGCTCACATGTCCTCTTCCGAACAAGCAAAGCACACCGTTCTTTGGTGCTCCTTCAGGGACTTAAATCACACGGTTAGGTCCAATCCTGCCCTACTTAATGGTGCTTTCCTTTAAAGATGCGAGAACACAATGCTACGTGTACCTGAGTCTTTGGAAAGGAAAAAAGAATAACTCCGCCATTAATGGAACAAAGAGTTCCAGGCGCTTTAAAGACTCAAAAATAGCTCACCGCTTCCTAGAGAAACCGTGGTTTGTTGAATTAGCTGGGAAGACACAACAAGCCAAAGCAAACCAAGCCTGTATTGGGGTTGAACGCAGCGCGAGAACTCAGCCTGCGCCCCTTCCAGCCCTCCCAAGATTTGGACGCGGGGCCGAATTCCCAGCCCCACATCTCCCAACTCAGGAAGCCTTCAGAGATGTCAAGGCAAAACAAAGATGACCCACATCTTCTCATTAGCCCTGGGGCGGGGGGCGGAGGGGAGGAGGCCTGTTTTTGGTTCTCGTTCGTATCTTAAGCGCCCAGCGCCCAGATTAGAGAGCTATTCCAAGGTCTCTCCTGAGCTCCCGGCGCCCGAATATCGCTCCTATGCACGGCAGGCTTGCAAGGAACCCTGACGAGATGATGCAACGAAAACAATGAACTTCAGCCTTCTAGTCCTGGCTGCAGGCCAAACCGAGTTCTGATTAGATGGGTGGAGAAGCAAGTTCACATTCTTTGCTCTGGGGCTCTATTGTTTTGGACAATCGGGGAGCTCAGAGGTGCCTCTCAGGGTAGAAGAGCAAGCGGTTGAACCAGTGGCCTATTTATTCCACCAGAGAAGCTGTCACTGTTTTTTTCTTCCTTGTGGTTTCATCCCTCTCTTTCCTGGGCTTCCAGCTACGCTTCGCCTCCGAGCCAAATCAACGGGCCTTTCGGCTGCGAGGGTCGGGTTGAGAAAGGCTCCTTTTTAACGCGCCCCTTTATTTTTATATTTGTTCCCCCGCTCTCCTCCAGCAGTTCAAGGTCTAGGGTTGGCTGATTCAAACAAGCCACGGTCATAAAGCAGGGTTTAGAAATCCCCAGGCTGGGTTGGCCCAAGCGCTTCAGCTAAGTTGCAGCTGGCTACTCTGTGGGTCAACAGAGCACACCTTGTTTTATGAGTCCTGCATTTCCTGATCTGGCGCTCTCTCAGCGCCTGCTGTCAGCTGGGAGGAAATGGGTTGTGAAGCCTAAAGGCAGTGTGATTGTGTGTCCTTGTTTTGTGTATCCAAGCAGCAGGGCCCTGAGGCCGTGGCTCTTACCCTCTGTGGCGCGTTGATTACTCCAGTGTTGTACCCAAACTGCAAAGACCCCAAAACGGCACCTCCAACGGCCAGCATCAACTGGGCGGTCATCTGTTGCAAAGGGGGGACGGGGAGAGAAGTGGAAGAAAGAGAAGACAAGGTGGAGGTCATTCAACTGGGAAAACCCAAGCAAGGAACACAGACAGGCCAACACAGCTGGCACCCGCCGGGATATGTCATCGAGCGCTGATGCTAACACTGTGCCTATGAATATGTCTCCAACGTGGTTTGGTTAAGTCAAATCACAAAGGAGGGAGTCAGGAAGATGACCTTGATGGAGATACGTAGGAGACACTGGCTAGGCAAAGGGGGATGAAATGTTTTTAAGTCCAGAACTGCAAGATAACCTTCGAAGGTGGATCAGGTAGACACTCCCTAATCCACATGGGTATAAGGAGGGGAGGAGGCGCAGCACAGTCAGACTTGCAAGATTCGGTTATGATATTCGGTTTTGGCCTTCCTGGTCTGGTCTACCATGGGGGACTAACAGCGCCTGATCAGAAACCCAGGGAGGGAGGCAGGCTCCCCCCTCATTGAAACTTTGATCCAGATAACACCTTCCGCTAAACTGGCTCATCCGATCGAGTAGAGCAGCTTCCTCCCCAAGGTCCAAACCAAGCGCGATTGTTGCTGCAGTGCTCAGAAGCCCACTAGAGGAAATCTACCCTGCCCTGGCTCTGCTTTCCATAATTTAGGATTTGCTTTCTGCAGGGCAAAGAAAGAAGGGATGGCTTTTTAAAAAAATCAAGCTGCAATCCCTGAACATCAGCCAGTTTGCCCAAGAGAAAGCCAGCTTACGGTGCAAGCTGGCGATCGGCACCCTTTTTAGCCGACCTCCCTGTGTCTCAACCTTCTGCCTAACCGGGGTAACAATCGAGGGCTTGTTTGGGCTGTCAGTTACGAGAGGGGGGCTGAAATCCCGGGAGCTCCGCCTCGGTGGCTCCGCTCCAGTAATCCGGGGATCCAATTTTCGCCAGCTGACCTAAGCGGCTTTGGAAGAGTCTCACGGATAAAAACCACGCTCCCGTTCTCACGCTCTGTGCATTGTTTTGGTCTCTCCGTGGCAGCTGGGCGCAAGGGGTATCGTTCGACTGAAGGAGGCAGAGCCAGCAACCTCGTGAATCAGATTTCAGGCAAGCCGCCTGGTCTTAGCCGGGGGGCGGGGGGAGCTGCTTGGCCGTTCTCTGCATCCTGCTGACGTGCAGGAGCTGAGTTTGGGGCCAGGGATGGGATGGGATGGGATGGGATGGGACGGGGGAAAACAGGGAGGGATGAGGCTGAGGTCCCCCCTCCAAAGCCAGGCCAAGAAAGCGTGGAGAAACACATCTGCGGTGTTATTTTCTTTCCAGAAGGATTAAGCAGAATTGTTTCTCCGAGTCCCAAGCAACAGCCGGTCACTCGGGGCCCTGCGTGGCTGAATCACTGAAGAGGCCGCCTAGCCCAGCAAAGACACGTTGGAGCTGGACAGAAGCACCGAGGCTGAAGAACGCAGTAACTCTTGCCCAGGCTGAATGCAACAGGACCCAGTTCTCCCACCCATTAAGCCGGCATGCACCTGTCTCCAGCGTACACTGGGCTGCACAGACCCAGCCACCATGGTTTACTCCACAGGGTGATCTTGGCCAGCTGGGGCTCCGCATGGTTAAGCAAACCAAGGTCATAACCCACCCACTCTAACCCAGAGCTACTGACAGTTGTGGTGCGCCAGCTTGCCAAAGGCAGCATCTTCAATTTAACACATGCTTAAACCAACTACAGGTCGCCCCTGTTTAGTGACCACAAGTCAACTTGGTCGTTAAGCGAAGTGGCTAAGTGAAACCGCAACTGTGCCGACAATCTGACTTCAGCTTTCCCTCACTTTACGGACCTGTGAAGGTCACAAATGCAAGGATGAGTCGCAAAGTTACTTTTTCATCACGGTCGCTGTACAAGGCAGTGGCTAAGCGAGGACTACCTGTATGTGAACGATAAACCTAGCATTTGACCTGGCCAACACAATGCACTTGGCCCTGATATGGTTTACTATGGGAACCACAAAGGTTTGTTCAATAACCTTGGTTTAAACAAGCATTGGTTCACGGTGGAGGGGCGTACCTGGCTGCAAGCCTCTATCAAGAAGCTCAGGGTTCAGACCCCCAAAGGGCCAAAGTTCCATGTGACCTGGACTGGCCATTAAAGCTGCGGATCTTTAATGGTTTCCCATCCATCCAGGGGTCTCGTGCGAAGCCCTCCTAGACAGACATGAACCGGTTGGTTCACACGGCCAGACCCCAGCGTGCCCTCAGCCAACCCAGGGCACCGGCTCGCCCCAGATGGCTGCCCTCGCCCTCACCCTGCCCGAGTATGTGAGAAATGAGTCCCCCAGGGAGGGGAGAGGCTGGAATCGGGTCACTGGCGCAGCCTCTGGCCAAGGTGTGCCCTTGGCACAGCTGGGCTCTCCCTCACCTCCCAACGGGAGCCTGGGGGGCGTTCAGACCCTGGCAGGGCTTCACAGAGAGGCACCTGCCCTGAAGGCGGAGGGCTCGGGTGGCGCATTTTTGGTCAAACTTGAAAACAGAGAGAGAGAGACAGACCTATGTTTCTAAAAAACACACTGCCCACGGAGAGGTTTTGTCAAAACAAGGAAACGCAGGGGTCTGAACAGCAGGGCCACAGTTTCGGAGATGCTCCACCCTTCCCCAAGGATCGGGGAAGCAAGAAATCACTTCTGGTTCGTCTCTTGCATGAGCCCAGCTGACCGTGGTTTATTCAGCCAACTGGGGTTTAGTCGAGCCAGTCCAGCCCCCCGGTACCCAAAACTGGTGCAGGAGATTCCCCCGGTTCAGATTCCCAGGCCCTCCTGGCGCTCACGGGCTGGCACTGGGCCTGCTGTCAACTGCCCAGGCTGCGTCCTTCCAGCGTTGTGGCGAGGGTAAAAAGTGGAAGGAGATCGTGGATAGAAAGGGACCCCATCACATGAGAGGAAAGGATACCCCGGATCCGCCAGAGCCCCAATCTAACTAGCCAGTTGTTTCTTAAAAAATTACTTTTAGTTCAGATTTATTTATTTCAAACATGTGTATAGCCGCCCATCGCAAAACCCCAACTCTGGGCAGCTTACCACCCAACAATAAAAGCGATATATGCAGCTAAAACAAAACCAGAAAAATGGCCCTTCTGTCATGACTTCAGGATCCTGTAAAGAAACACCAGGAATAATATTCCCGGGGCCTTGCTTCAGCCCTATTCTGAAACTTTTGCGTTCCTGCTTTGGGGGCATTCAACCCATCTCTCGCCGCTTGGCCAGAATGAGGAATCTTGACTCTGTTTGTATTTTGTGTTTCCCTGCCTGGTGAAAGTCCCCGGAAGCCTGCAAAGAAGCAACCTTTGTTGTTGTTTTGCCACTGATACACTGTTCCCAAAGGCGTGATTGTGGTTGCGACATCAAAGAGACACATGCCTTTCCAGCGTCACCTTTGTCCACTCACCCCCTTACAGATAAAGCAGGTGCCAAGCCTGAAATCGCACCATGGGGCAAAGACCACGCTGAGTGGCTCCACCTGGACGGGTCCACCAAACTTCTAATGTTGGGTTAGGCCCAGGGCCGGGTGAGGAGCCCTGCCGGTTTCCGACGGCTAACACAGAACCGTTCCTTAGATGGATCTTCCTTAGCCCCATCCCTTCCCAACAAACACATTCCAGATGCTAGAAGACGTCACCATAACATCTGGGCCTGTCAAGGGCAATTGAATGCCACCCATTGACCCGGTCCTTCGCAGAGCACCAAGCAGGAGCACGCAGCACATGAAGCCGAACGACCGTGATTCACAAGCCAACTTGGAGATTACGGCTGAGCACGTCGGTGCATTTCCCCAAAAGTGGGCGATTGTGTGCATTCAAAGCGGGTGAACATCAGTCCACAGATGTTCACTATAGCTCGCTCCATTCTGAGTTTGTAACTCATCCTCAACTCAGCTTTGGGGACTTCAGCATCACTTTGACTTTTCCTTGTTCACCTTCACTTTTAATTTAATTTTTTTTTTTTGCAACCATTCCTAGATGTCAAGGTGTCACCACCCATCATATTATGTATATTTACAAGGTAATTTCTAAAAAAAATAAATAAATCCCACAATGTGTAGGAACAGGTGCTGTTCCTACAGTTATCCCACTTTGCAACACCTGCCGTGACTTGGTTCCACCACGCCGGAAGTCAAACCACCAGCGTGCCCTTGGCGCCAGCAGCAGTGGGGAACAACAGCCATCATGGGCCTTTAAAATGCTCACTTTCCCAGAACTATAACAAAACCAGCAAGCACATTTGTTCAGTTTCTGCAAAAAAGAAAAAAAAAACCCAAAACCATTCCCTTCCTCCCAGACGTCAGCGTGCAAAAGTGAATTTTCAGAATTGCAAAAAATAAGGCTGTCACGCTGCCTTTGCAAAACAGCCTTCTCCCCCCGCCCCCCTTCCTCAAAAAGGCAAAAGGAAGGAGAGAGGGCCATGCTATGCTCTGTGTTTGATTTAATGCACAAACAAATAAACTGGGATGTTTTAAGTGGAAATTATCATGACTGCCAGTCTAAGGCACCCACCTGAGTCCCAGCCGTCCAGCTTTGGGTGGGACCAAAATGAAAGGGAACAGTTTGGAATGAGCTACACAGAAATTTGGGAGCCGGATTACAGGGAGGGAAGAGATTATGTTGTGGGCAAGAGGCAGACCCAAGATTTAGTGTGGGGCACAGCCCCCCATCTGCGCACAGTTGCATAATGACCACAACCACATGTCCAAAGCCCTGCCAAAGACCTAAGATGACGCAGCATGGTTCCGCCAGACAAAATTTATGATGGTGGGTTAACGCTTCAGGGCAAGGGAGAAGGCTGAGTTTCGGAAACTGGGTGGGTCCCGATTAAAATCTAGGAGCAGATTCACCGGCCCTTGACAAACCATGATTAAGCAGCCCCGTGTCCCCAGGAAACTTACAAGAAGTTGAATTTACTAAACAGGCCTATTTTGAGATCGGTCGTGAATCCGACAAATTGCTGGCTTATGAATCACAAGAAGAACGAGGGAGAGGAATCGTTTCTTTGGCCTCAAATGAATTCTTGCCGGTTTGACTCCGTGACCATTATATTCCTGCCTGTCTGTCGTGAGAGAGAGATTTCTTTATTGCCTTAGGTGAAGAAACTCCGCAGTTTGCATGGATTTCACAGCACGACGGGCAGGGCTTCTCAACAAACAAGTTCACCCACTCTCTGTTTTGCGCTGGGAAATTTCTGCCCCAGAGAAATCACCCCCCTTGCTGCACCCAGCCCAACAGCGGATCCGTTCGTTGCCTGTTATTTCTTCCTCCAGGGAATCATAGCGGAGGGGTCTCAAAGATCATCTAGCCCTCCTCAGAGAGGAAATCCAGAAATCTCAGTCTATACTTGGAAAGCTCTCGCGTGGGGGGCAGCTTCCCCCACTCCAAAGTCATTGGCTGTGTTCCTGATCTGCCTTTAGCGCAAAAGGTTTCACTCCACGTTCAGCGGAAACCTCTACATCTCACGCTCCACAGAGGACAATCCCCTCCTTTCCCCCCTCCCTGTCCCCCTCCCCAATTTCCTTTGGAGGCCCCTCGCCGTCTTCCTTGGCCTCCTTCAGACCTGCTC